AATGATAGAGACCCTAAAACAGGATATGAAAAACTCTCTTAAAGAAATGGAAGATAAGACAAACAAGAAGTTAGAAGAAATAAATAAATCCCTCAAAGATACCCAAGAAAACCAAGAAAAGGCAGGTAAATAGGTAAAGGAAACAGTTTAAGACTTGAAGACTGAAATGGAGGCAATAAAGAAAACACAATCCGAGGAATGGCTGGATATGGAAAATCTGGGTAAATGAACAGGAACTACAGACACAAGTATAACCATAGAAATACAAGAGGTAGAAGGAAGAACCTCAGGCGTTTAAGATACTATAGAGGAAATAAACTCATTGGTCAAAGGAAACAGCAAACCCAGCTAATCCTTAACACAAAACATCCAGGAAATCTGGGACATCATGAAAAGACAAAGCCTAAGAATAATAGGGTTAGAAGAAGGTGAAAAGTTACAGCTCAAAAGTCAAGAAAATATATTCAACAAAATTATAGAACAAAACTTTCCCAACCTAAAGAAGGATATTCCTATGAAGGTACAAGAAGCTTACAGAACATCAAATAGACTTGATCAAAAAAAAATCCCCTCACCATATAATAATCAAAACACAAAAGAATATTAAGAGCTGCAAAGGAAAAAGTTTAAGTAACATATAAAGGTAAACCTATCAGAATTAACCTTACTTCCTTATGGAAACCACGAAAGCCAGAAGGTCTTGGATAGATGTGCTGCAGACACTAAGAGACCATGGATGCAAGCCCAGACTACTATATCCAGCAAAGTTTTATTTCACCATGGATGGAGAAAACAAGATATTCCAGGACAAAAACAGATTTGTACAATATGTAGTCACAAACCCAGCCTTACAGAAAGTACTAGAAGGAAAACCACAATCCAAGGAAGCCAACAAACCCAAAATAACACAGACATCTGACAACCCTCCACCAGCACAACCCAAAGAAGGGAAACACATGAACATTACCACCAGAAAAAAATAACTAGAGTTAACAACCACTGGTCATTAATATCACTTAATATCAATGGACTAAATTCACCTATAAAAAGGCACAGGATAAAAGAATGAACACGAAAACAGGATCCAACATTCTGCTGTTTACAAGAAACACACCTCAACCTCAAAGACAGATACTACCTCGGAGTAATGGGTTGGGGAAAGGTTTTCCAAACAAAAGAATCTAAGTCACAAGCATGTTTGGCTAAATAACATCTAACAAAATGATTTCAAAGTAAAATAAATCAGAAGTTATGGAGAAGGATACTTTATACTCAGAGCAGGAACAATTCATCAGGATGAAGTCTCAATCCTGAATATCTAATATAAAAGCACCCGCATATGTAAAATAAACATTACTAGAACTCAAAGCACACATCAAATCCCACACCTTAATAGTAGGAGATTTCAACACTCCTCTCTCACCAATGGACAGGTCAACCAGAGACAAACATAACAGAGAAATAAGAAAATTAACAGATGTAATAAATCAAATGGACTTAACAGACATATATGGAGCATTCCACTCAAACAGGAAAGAATATACCTTCTTCTCAGCATCTCATCACACCTTATCAAAAATTAATCACATACTCAGTAACAAAGCAACCATCCACAGATACAAAACAATTGTAGTAACCACGTGTGTCTTATCAAATCACCATGGAATAAAATTAGAATTTAACAACAATTCCACCCACAGAAAGCCTACAAACTCATGGAAACTGAACAGTTAACTACTGAACAACCCCTGGGTCAAGGAAGAAAGAAAGAAAGAAAGAAAGAAAGAAAGAAAGGAAGGAAGGAAGGAAGGAAGGAAGGAAGGAAGGAAGGAAGGAAGGAAGAAAGATCTTCAATGAATTTAATGAAAATTAAGACACAACATACCCAAACCATGGGACGCTATGAAAGCAGTACTAACAGGAAAGTAAACAGCACTAAGTGCCTACATAAAGAAAATGGAGAAAGCTCACATTAGAGAATTGACAGCACACCTGAAAACTCTAAAAGAAGAAGAAGAAGAAGAAGAAGAAGAAGAAGAAGAAGAAGAAGAAGAAGAAGAAGAAGAAGAAGAAGAAGAAGAAGAAGAAGAAGAAGAAGAAGACTCACCCAGGAGGAGTAGAAGCCTGGAAATAATCAAACTGAGGGCCAAATTCAACAAAATAGAAATACAGAAATCAATCCAAAGAATCAATTAAATAAGGAGCTGGTTCTTTGAGAAAATCAAAGATTGACAAACTCCTATTCAAACTTATCAAAAGGCTGAGAGAGAATATGCAAATTAACAAGATCAGAAATAAAAGGGGGACATAACAAGAGACACAGAAGAAATACAAAGTATCATTAGATCTTACTACAAAAGCCTGTATGACACAAAATTGGAAAATATAAAAGAAATACATATTTTTCAATAAGTACATAATACCAAACTTAAATCAAGACCAGGTGCACAATTTAAATAGAACTATAAATCACAAGGAAATAAGAGCTGTCATAAAAAACCTCCCAACCAAAAAAAGCCAAGGACCAGATGACTTTAATACAATCTTACCATAACTTCCAAGAAGAGCTAATACCTATACTCCTTGATGTGTTTCACACAATGGAAACAGAAAAGTCATTGCCAAACTCATTTTATGAAGCTACAGATACCCTGATACCAAAAGCACACAAAGACTCAACCAAGAAAGAGAATTACAGCCCATTTCACTCATGAACTTCGATACAAATATTCTCAATAAAATACTGGCAAGCCGAATGCAAAAACACAACAAAAAATTATCCATTATAGTCAAGTAGGCTTCATCCCAGAGATGCAGGGCTGGTTCAACATATGAAACTCTATGTAAACCACCATATGAATAAACTGAGAGAAAAAAATATGATCATTTCATTAGATGCTGAAAAGCATTAGACAAAATTCAAAACTCCTTTATGATAAAGATCTTGGAGAGATTAGAGATACAAGGATCATATCTAAATATAATAGAAGCACTATACAGCAAGCCGACAGATAATATCAAATTAAAAGGAGAGAAACTCAAAGCCGTTCCATTAAAATCAAGAACAAGACAAGGCTGTCCACTCTCTTCATATTTCTTCAATATAGTGCTTGAAGTTTAGCAATAGCAATAAGACAACATAAGGAGATCAAGAGGATTCTAATTGGAGAGGAAGAAGTCAAACATTCGTTATTTGCAGATGATATGATAGTGTACAAAAGTGACCCCAAAACCTCTAACAAAGAACTCCTAAAACTAATAAATACCTTCAGTGATGTGGCCGGATACAATATCAACTCAAAAAAATCAGTAGCCCTCCTATACACAAAGGATAATGAAGTGAAGAGGAAAATCAGAGAAGCATCACCTTTCACAATAGCCACAAATACCACAAAGTATCTTGGGGTAACACTAACCAAGGAAGTGAAAGATTTATTTGATAAGAACTTTAAGTCTTTGAAGAAAGAAAGTGAAGAAGATATCAGAAAATGGAAGGATCTCCCATGCTCTTGGATTGGGAGGATCAACATAGTAAAAATGGCAATTCTACCAAAGGAAATCTATAGATTTAATGCAATCCACATCAAAATCCCAATAAAATTCTTCACAGACTTTGGGAGAACAATAATCAACTTTATATGGAAAAACAAAAAACATAGGATGGCCAAAATAATCCTATACAATATCCTATACAATATCCTATACAATACAATAAAGGTACTTCTGGAGGCATTACCATTCCTGGCTTCAATAATAATTCCTGGCTACAGTAATAAAAACAGCTTGGTTTGACATAAAAACAGAGACATTGACCAATGGAATCAAATCAAAGACCCGGATATTAATTCACAAACCTATGAACATATGATTTTCATCAAATGACTTAAAATTATATAATGAAAAAAAGAAAGCATTTTTTACCAAATCGTGCTGGCATAACTGGATGTCAACCTGTAGAACAATGAAAATAATCCATATCTATCACCATGCACAAAACACAAGTCCAAATGGATTAAAGACCTCAATATAAATTTACCACACTGAACCTGATAAAAGAGAAATTTGGAAGTAGACTACAACACATGGGCACAGGAGACCACTTCCTATGTATAACCCCAGTAGCACAGACAATAAGAGTAACAATGAATAAATGGGACCTCCTGAAGCTGAGAAGCTTCTGTAAAGCAAAGGACACTGTCATTAAGACAAAAAGCAACCTACTGAATGGGAGAAGATCTGCACCAACCCCACATCAGACAAAGGCCTGATCTCCAAAATACATAAAGAACTCAAGAAACTAGACATTAAAATTCTAAATAACCCAATTAAAAAATGTGTACTGCACTGAACAGAGAATTCTCAACAGAAAAAGTTCAAATAGCCAAAAGATATTTAAGGTCATGTTTAACTTCCTTAGCGATCAGGGAAATTTAAATCAAAACAACTTTTAGATACCAACTTTACACCTGTCAGAAGGGCTAAAATCAAAAACACCAAAGATAACCAATACTAGAGAAGATGTGGAGTTAGGGAAACACCATTGCTGGTGGAAATGCAAACTTGTGCAACCACTGTGGAAATCAGTATGGCAGTTTCTCAGGAAACTGGCAGTCAACCTACCTCATGATCCAACAATATCACTCTTGGGAATTAGAAATCACTGCAATAGTATAAACAAATATATGAAAAAATTTTAAAGTTATTTATACAATGTTAAAAGCATCCTATGTTTTAGTAGGACGTAAGCTGAGACTCTTCTTAGAATTTCTAAGTAAATACACATTAACAGAACAGAAAATTACTGTTAAACACTAAATTAGTTAATATTTGTTGTATATTTCTGGATTGTGTTTTATATAAATAAATGCACGGTAAGTTAACTTAAGAAAAGTAGTAAAATGAGAAAAACAAAGTATCATTTAAGTGTAATTTATTATCAATGTACACCTGCAAACAAATAAATGTGTGTTCTCTGATTTTCACCCTCTACGTTATTTCAGGTGTTCTGTGACAAGAATGGAAAACTAAGACAGTGGGCATTACGAGCTGGAACCATGTTCTCAGAATTATTAGAGAACATGTAGAAAAATCCACAGTCAGATGAGATTGCTAACATATTTCACTTGGGGTCACTTTTTACTTATGTACATTCAGTGTAAAACAAGGATTTTATGACACTTTCATTCAATATATAATATCCAGTTATTATTATCTGGATTATCCTTACCCAGTTAGTCTTTCCTGTCTCTCTCGCCACACTTCGACTAGGCCCTGTCCTCTCCAGTAGCCCCACCTTCTACTCTGTGCCTGTCCTGCAGGGATCATGTCTGGGGTCTTTGATATGTGCATCCATTATGTCTGTTGATGTCCGTGGCTTCTAATTCCACCAACACCCTAGAGGATAGGGCTGTACAGAATTGATCTTGCCCCTCACTGGCTACAACACTATGGAGAATGGTCCTGGCTCTCACCTAATGAAGCACTCCAAAGAGAGAGTCCTACACATCCCCTGGACAACACAACAGAGATGAACTTATGTGCTCGGGCATGGGTGAGGGCATGAGAATAGGAGAGCAGGTCAAGCCTGCTATGTGGCTATGTGGTGAAGGAAAGACCCTTCCCCATTCTGTTAGCCAACTACAGCAGGTGAGGGACCTGATGCAAACCTCCCCACACCAATTTTAGCTCTAAGGAAAGTGGAGGCTGCATGTTCTGATTAGAGCAATAAGACAACAAAAGTTGATCAAGGGGATTCAAATTGTAAAGGAAGAAGTCAAACTTTCTCTTATTTGCAGATGATGCGATTATATACATAAATGACCCCCCAAAAAAACTCTACTAGGGAACTCCTACAGCTGATAAACACCTTCAGTAATATGGCAGGATAGAAGATCAACTCAAAAAAATCAGTATCCCTTCTATATACAAATGGTAAAGAAGCTGAAAAAGGAATAAGAGAAAGATCAGCCTTCACCATAGCAACAAATGACATAAAATATCTTGGGTTAACACTAACCAAAGTAGTGAAATACCTGTTTGACAATAACTCTAAGTCTTTGAAGAAAGAAATGGAAGAAGATACCAGAAAATGAGAAGATCTCCCATGCTCTTGGATAGGTAAGATCAACCTAATAAAAATGACAATCCTACCAGAAGCAATATATAGATTCAAAGCAATCAGAATCAAAATCCCAACAGAATTCTTCACAGAACGTGAAAGAATAATAATCAACTTCATAGGGAAAAACAAAAAAAAAATCAGTATAACCAAAACAATCCTGTAGGTATCACTATCCTTGACATCAGGCTCTATTATAGAGGTATTGTAATGGAGACAGCTTAGTATTAGCATAAAAACAGACAGGTTGACCAATCGAATCAAAACAAAGACCTGAATAGTAATCCACACATCTATAAACATCTGAGTTTTGAGATTATACAATGGAACAAAGTACCTTCAACAAATAGTGCTGCCATAACTGGATGCCAGCATGTAGAAGAATGCAAAGAGATCAATATGTATCCCCATGCACAAAACTCAAGTCCAAATGGATTAAATATAATATAAATCCAACCACCCTAAGCCTGATGGAAGAGAAAGTGGGAAGTAGCCTTCAATGCATGAGCACAGGAGACCCCTTCCTATATATAATACCAGTAGCACAGACACTGAGAGCAACAATAAAATAAGGACCTCTTGAAGTTGAGAAGCTTTTGTAAAGCTTGTTGTCACTGTCAAAAAGACAAAAGCACAGACCACTGAATAGGAAAAGATCATCAACATGCCCACATGACACAAATAACAAATCTTAAAAATATATTAAAAAAACTCAAGAAATTAAACATCAAAATTCCAGATGACCCAATTTTTTAAAATTTTTATTGAGAAAAAGAAAAAAAAGTTTCTGCCTCCTCCCAGCCTCCCATTTCCCTCCCCTCCTCCCACCCTTCTCCCCCTCCCCCC